GGAAGCTTCTCAGTGATTTTGGTGTCTCTTGGTGCCTGGAGGGCCATTTTACAGGGTTTTAAATTAAAGACAGCTGAATCTATCCATCAGTTTGTCAGAAAAAAAATTGTAAATTCGTGATTTGTGACTTGTCGACTATGAGAAATTATGAAATGTGATGAAACGCCATTTTTTCTATTCATGCCCACTTCTAGTTATGACCTAAAATTTCAAGGAATGGGATGCTGCCCACTTGGCTGTGGTAGATTTTGGGGTTCATTCTCCCAATTGTCAGGCACAACATGTATACATGCATCTGTCATGGCGGTGTCTTTTTAAAATTATCTTGCATACTTGAGAGCTGTTGCTGGGATTCAAAAGTTAGCCTTTACCTTTTCTTTTTTTTCTTTTTTTGATGGCTCTCTACATTAGTCTATTTCCCTTTCACACCATTTTGCAGCGATTGGTGACTGATCCCTCCTCCATAACTTCAGGGTCCATCCCATGACATAAAAAGGGTGCTATCTTTTGGTCTAACTGTGGCTTTAAATATCAGCAAATTGGATGCTTCTGAACCAACAGCCTCTGAATATGTGCATATGTGTATGCCCCATTTGTATGTAGAGCTTTTATTTGTTTTATTTTTTATTTTTCCTTTGGGAAAAAACAATGGCAACATGGGGGAAGATGATTTTCAATAGAAAAATATTGAAAAGGAGGAGTTATGCTGCTGCTTTCCATCTGTCATTGCTGTCCAACTCACAGCCTGCCCTCAGGGCTTATTTTCATGGTGTAAAACCCCAGAATGTCATGTCACATAAAGTCGGAACCTCTCAGGAACTTCAAAATACACACAATCAGGTGAGAATACTCAGAAGGTTCTTTACCGATTGTGTTTTTCGTTTCAATTTTTTTGTGGGACATAAGCACAAGTATTTGTTGTGATCCCAGCTACTCAGAATTGTAACCTGTAAAATAGCTTTCATATAAATGTCAAATGATGTAAAATGGAATGCCTATATTTAAATAGATTTTAACAGATAATAAAACTCAGAGGATTAAAATAGTTTCATTCACTGAGACAGACAATTCTGACACCAGTGTGCAATTTATGTGTCACATTATGTAAAATACAATTTCAAACACACACACACACACAGAATGAATCATAAATATAAAGGCACCAACAGATAAATATCTCTTAGAGTGGAGCTGGATATTCTGTTTTTGAATCCTAGGTCAAGTAGAAAGTGAAAAACATAATTACAGGGTCCCAAACAACTCCTGTTTTTAAACATTGAATTGCAGGGGTTTAATGTGTCCGCCTTCCTATGACACATATATTTCAAGTGTCATAGTCAAATTTTCTCCCATTTTCTAACATAGTTTTGGGAGAAAGCAAATGTATTAGAGTGTTTTGACACTCACTTACATCAAACGCAAGAGAACGTTGTTCTTTCATTTTGAGGTACTTGTTTGGCACCTTATTGTAGAGCACCCCCACATTTTACAGATTATAGTCAATTATCTAGCACAGGGATATGTATTACATTTTTTTTGTGATAACTTTTCCTGACAATCCTTTCCTCTCACAAAATATAAAAATGGTCCTGGGGAGCTATGTATAAGGAAGCCAAGAGTGGCAGGAGTGGTTCCCTTTACCCGTCAAACAACATCCAATATATTGCCTGACTTAATTGACTCCTTAAATCTAGTTTAAGAACATCCAGCAGACCAAGTTCATCATGAGAGACTGAGTAATAAGCAGGAAACTAATATGGAGTAGCACTGATGTCGCTTGACCAGCCACCCTCCTTGGTGGCATTTAATAGGGAAGGGAGGGCAAGGTGAAAGTGGAACCATACTATTGTGTGATGATGCCAGTTGGCTGTGGTGGCTTCAGTGCAGCTTATCTGAGCATGCAGCTCAGCAGTTCTGTGCCAGTGGCCACTAGATAGGGTTTGAAGGACTGCTGACTCTTCCTGTTCAGGCATATAAAAGGCACATTCATTTCACTATTAACCTTTCAGCTGAGGAAAGTATTACTCCCAAGCTGGGGATGCATGGACTTCTTCCTGGATTGGTTTGAATTGCGTAACCCATCTGGCAGCGTTCTGAAGGATTTTCTCATGTCTCAAGACTTGTGTGAGATTGATACAGACCAAGGCTCTCTTTCTTCCTGAGGTGCCCAGTATTTGTGGCAGTTTGGAAATACTGTGCTCTGAATCCCACATCTGTGGCATAGAAATTAAAATTAAAAGATAAGGATATTGTAATAGATCATCAGCATGGTGACTTACGGCTCTTGTACTTCATTGTTTTCCATACTTTACTTTTGATGGCACACAGCCTCCTTGCATGAATTACGCCCAATATTAGTACTGTGCCTTGTTCAATAAGAGAGTGAGAGATTGTTAGTTAGTATCATTTTTGTTTAACTTCACCTTACTGGTATTCTTATTCCATGAGCATTCCTGGTTGTGAGAAGGCTTTTGTGTGTGTGTGTTTAGTGGAAATTTGTGGTTGTTTTGTAAACATGTTTCTGTGTACATTTACCAAAAAAACAAGAATAATACATTTTTCTATGCCCCTTTTCATTGACAAAGGCATGTTTATGCTGCTTATTTTCCAAATTCATGCATATTTTGAATGAACAGATGAGTTGCTGTGCACTCTTTCTTTCTCCCATGAAAGCCTCCCAAATGTACAGATTTCCAAAGCAATATGTGTTTTGTCTCATTGACAGTCTGAGGAGGTGTTCAGTTAATATTTCTGTGTGTAAATTAAGGATAAAACAAGAGTTTCATTCAATTTAGCAGTCTTGATGTATGTAGTACTTTCATATTTGCCAAGATGTTGTTAGAAGAAATGCTCCTTGATTTAAGAATACCCGCATTTGTAATTTCAGAGCACATTGCTAAGCATTAAAGTACACTGTGAGCCCCACTGGCCCTTCCCAGGTGGCCATTCTTCCATTCCCAGATCTATGGAGTCAACAATAGGTTTTGTGAACACAACAGGGTTTATTTGAACTTGGGTAAGGGATTCAACAAATGTCAACTCTGCCCACTGGTCTTTCTCAGAGCTAGTTGAATGCACTAGGCCCAGCTACGTCCCATCCTGTTCTACAGCACCAGGAGTAAGGGTTTGTACACCTACAGTGGGGGCAGGGCATGTGATATATTTGGAGCCCTGATGCAGGGCATGTTGTGACCTGTCTTGTGCTTATCTTGCTGAAGATAATGCAAATGTCCTATTTGACACTGTTATCTCCAGTGCTGCAGCTGGGTAGGAACTCTCTGGCTGCTTCTCCCAGTCCCAGTGCTCAAAAGGAGTGTCTCTGTTGTCTCTCACCTGAGTAATGTGGATAAGCTTGAGGATGGGGATATTGATGCTTCACACCCTCCCCCTTGGCTCAACTAGCTCCCCAGTGCAGTGATCTTTTTGTTGCAGAGTTTGCATTTCTGATTGGATTCCTCTAGCTGTGCAACAGAAGTGCAGGGGCTCACAGAGCAGAATAGCTTCAAGTTCCCCAGAGCCCACCCCTTTTTCTCATCAACTGGCACTTACAGTCTCAACAGTTCACTCAGAAACATTTGAAAGAGAGAAAAATAAAAGGTATAATTTGCTTACAGAGGATAGACCAAACAGCAAACTAACAAAATATGGCTGCCTACAGCAACAGGCCTCAGCAGACTAACTGCTGCTTTTCAACATACTGACTGACTCCAACAGACAAAAGGTGGGTTGGAGCAGATAGGCTCTTTGATAGTCATACTTTAGCCAAGGAGAAAAATGTTCATTACATTAATTAAGATACACAAATTAATGTGCACATTGGGAAACTCCAATGATTCACACAAATTTCAGTGTGAGAGGGTGGGACTCCCTCATCATCTGAAGCAAACAAACAGGAAGAACAGGAAGAAAATGCAAGTGAGATTCGGAGACTCAGTAAAATTAAAACTGAGATTTTCACATCCTTACTGGAAATGTGAATCTAGTTGATCTCTTTCCTTATCCTGACAAAGGAGCCCTCTTTGATAGGTTAATATGGTCCTTTTAAAAGAATGAAGCAGATAAACTTTGTTTAGCCCTCTATGACTTTCCAAGAACTTCTTCACACAAGTGACTGCCTTTTCATTGCTTCAGCACTTCATAGACTTCAACAAATTCATAACCACTGGTCTAAGTGCCCTCCCTTGATATGTGATATGTGACCACGGCTTTGAAGAACCACCACAGGGGGTGTGAACACACTACATGGAGTACCTATGCAACTGGAGTGATGTTTCATGTCTCCACTTCCTGTTTAAGTCATGAAATCACAAGCATCAATGTGTGAGCATTCCTCATGAACAGCTGTTTACAAATGCTTTGTGAACTCTGCAGGTATCTGAGGTGAAAAGTAGCGCCAGTGACATAAAACCACAGTGGAACAATACAAGTTTAGCGTATGGAAAATGAGGGTTTTTTGGCTACAGTACAATGATTTTGAGATATGAAGGATGACTTGTTTGGTTTCTAACTCTGCTCTCCACTGTCAAACTTGTAAAATAAAATGAGGCAGTATGAAACATTAAAATTTCAGCCATCGTCTTCATTAATTTTTTAAAAAGCAGACTCATCCTGACAATTAACATTTCTCTGGTAGGCATTTTGTAAAGAAAGGGTCATTTGGCACTTCTTTATGGTTCAGCAGACTAAAGCAGTTTCATCCCACAGTGTGAGGAGAACTTGAAGTCCTGTTAGCAGCCATTTTGTCTTAAAAGCAAGGATTGCCAAGCACAAATGACTCTTTTAAATGGTAATACAATATATAACAGTTAGCAGGGTCTCTCATATCTGGCATGTCTCCAGAACATCAGGCCATAGCAGTTTCAGAAGTTTATATTCTCTTGCAGTAATAAGTGTCGTACTGCATTAAAGTTGCCCTCCTTCCCTACCGACATAAACTGCATTACTGAGACTTTTCATACTGAATGCAAGATTACAACCTGGAACTATGTTGTGTATTTCAGATTTCAAATAGATGAGTGAGTCTGTTTTGAATGCGTAAAAGACAGGAGTCACTGGAAGGTAGGAAACGATGCATGGAGTTGTTTTTCTTTGAATGAAGGTTGGCTTGTAGAAATTGCAAAGAGAGAGCCCAAAATGCACCTTGATGTGATGTCAAGATTGGTCTTACTCTGCTTAGGGTATTTGGGGGGCATTTGTATTCCGCGATCTATAATGGTGACACATTCTCTTCTGAGCTCTGTCATTAGTTAGTTGCAGGGGGGTCAGCTCACGCTGTCTGTCACTTTCTATTTGGTGCTGTTTCTCACAGAGGCTTACACCTTTTCTTTTGAGGTGTACACGACATGGCATACAAAGCCGACACAATGTCACTGTGTCTCTACAGTCACAGTGGCAGGGGAAATAGCATTTGTCACTACAGCTGACGATTGGGTAGAAGGCGAGGAAGAAGCAAACAGTGCTTCCAGATGAAAGTCATGAGCTTCAATTCTAATAACAAAATGTGAGGGGAAGGGAAAGAGGTGCCATATTGATTAAGGCTTGCTGATGTCCCTTGGATGTGCTTTATACGACATGGCACTCCTACCGTGTTTCCCCGAAAATAAGACAGGGTCTTATGTTAATTTTTGCTCCAAAAATGCATTAGGGCTTATTTCAGGGGATGTTTTATTTTACAGTCATGTCATCTTCCTCTGGTTGCTGCACAATGGTGGAGGGCAGGGTTTCACTTAACTTGGGCTTATTTTTGGGGTAGTGCTTATATTAGGAGCATCCTGAAAAATCATACTAGGGCTTATTTTCAGGTTAGGTCTTATTTTGGGGAAAGCAGGGTAGTTATGGAATATACGTAGGCCACTTTACTTGAGAGTTTTCTAATATATATAGTAGAAAACCCTCAAGCAAAGTGATTCACAATATCATGTATATTATGATATATACATGATACAAAACATCATGTATATTATACATGATATTACACATCCCAGATCTCCTGACTTGGATGGACTTGGTGTGATTCAAAAACCTGTCAGAAAAGCCATGAAAAATACTGACACTGGGGTTTACCAAGTAGCTAAAAATTCTGCTTTCTATATAATTAATGTGTATACATGTTACCTACTTCTTAGGCTATGAGACATTTTAGAGACAGCAGTGCTGAATTTACGGTACTATCTTATGGGTATATCGTCTAAGAAATAAGGACTAGGTACATGCATATACAATCCAAGCTTCACCATACAATTCTATGAATATTTACTCAGAAAGAAGTTTTCCTGAGCAGAAAAGGGTTTATATCAAGGTCCAAAGTACATCTTCACTTTACGTTTCACAGTTTACTAGTGCAAGGAACATGATCCAGCTGTGTGGGATTCGCTTTCCCCACCTAATCCCAAAGAAATGCTATCAACAAAATGACCAGCACTTGTTTTGATAATATAAATTGAAGGTTTGAGGGTCAACTTTTTTGGCTTTTTCTCATGTAGAGCTGGGATCCTCACAATTTGAGCCCCACTGACACTACTGAGGGTGTGATCAGATGAAGATACAACTCAGCCAATGCCACTGTTGGTGACATGGTCCAGTGCAGGCTATTTTACAGTGATCAGATAACATACAATGAACCACTATTGATCCTAATGGCGGCCATCACGTACAATGGACCACTATTCTCCTTGCTTCAGCATAGGGGCAAATAAAGGTTACTTCAAAACCAACCAGTTAGGTGGACTATTGGAAGTCCATCTGTGCTATGACGTTTCTCTTCGAACACACTGAAGGAGACGTGAAAGCTTTGCAGAACTGGGTCAGGTCAGTATAAGGTGCTGTGACAAATATAGTTTGGCAGTTTGTGCTCATCTCTATTCATAATCTTATGCAAATTTCTCATATTTTTAGTTTTATTGGAAGCCTCATTTCCTGCCCCGGCCCAGAATAAAGAGTCTTGACACAGTAGTTGGGTTAAAACTGAGCCAAAATTTTATTAACTATTTAACTCTAAATTCCCCTTTCATAAGGGGGCCTAACGTAGTGGGAGATTTATCCAAATATGGTGTACCTTTAACCTCTGAGCCATGCTAGAGCAGGGTGAGTTCCTTCCCTGAATTGTGCTGTCCTCTGTCCTCTACTAAATACTAAATCATCTCTGTCCTCCACTGCCTCAGCCCACTGAACCTTCTGACCCTAGGTGAACTGCTGCATAGGAGGTCCCATTAAACCTAGCCCCCCTCACAGGCTCTACTGGCTCCTCCAAATAGAGAGATGGGATGTTTTACTCATATCCGGTGTCCTCCTGGAACTCACCCAAACTCTTGCCCTCACACTACCTGCAGCTGTGACCTATTAAGTGTGACATTAACTATCAATTACACACTTTTAAAAAATATTTACTAAAGCCACACTCTAAAAGTAAGGGAACTCACCCAAACTCTTGCCCTCACACTGCCTGCAGCTGTGACCTATTAAGTATGACATTAACTATCAATTACACACTTTAAAAAAAAATTATTAAAGCCACACTCTAAAAGTAAGAACGGGGCAGCTGAAGATGTGCTGTACAGAGGATAGCATGATACAGGGCAAGGATAGGTGCAAACTCACTTGCTTCCCATCCCCTGCCAATTGGGGAAGCACACCAAAAATTTCCATCCAGCCCCTAAGCGACCAGCTACTCTCATTCTTACTACAATAAGGGTGGGTAGGATTGTTGCTCTGAGGGACGTGGTGGTGCTGCAGGTTAAACCGCAGAAGCTTCTGTGCTGCAAGGTCAGAAGACCTGCTGTCGTAAGATCGAATCCACACAACAGAGTGAGCCCCCATTGCTTGTCCCAGCTCCTGCCAACCTAGCGGTCCAAAAGCATGCAAAATGCAAAATGTGATTAAATAAATAAGTACCACCATGGTGGGAAGGTGACGGTGTTCCGTGTCTAGTCGCGCTGGCCACATGACCACAGACGATTTCTCCGGACAAACGCTAGCTCTATGGGTTGGAAATGGAGATGAGCACCGCCCCCTAGAGTCGGACATGATTGGACAAATTGTCAAGGGGAACCTTTACCTTTACCTAGGAGGGTTGCTCAGTTTATCGAAGAGAAAGGCTGAGTATGGGGAAGATGGATTTTAAAGGCTTTGCCTTCCAGCTCCCGCCCAGAGTGCAGTGTCATCAACCTGCGCCACCATTTTCTGGATGGGCAAACAAAGCAACCGAGCTACAGCAGCTCCATGCCTTGTGGGGTGATCCTTCTGACAGGATTTATGTAGAAACATAGGAGCATTTTGCATAAAAAATATTTTGCACAGAAAAACATGTATTTTATGTAAACTACAGCATTCTTTACATGAAATATAATATTTGCATGAAAAAAAATGCAGGGGGTGTCGATTGGCTTGTGTTGCTAATGTTGCCATCTCCAAAGAACTGGCAGCTTTTTTACTCTCAGAGGAAGAAAAGCAGCCCACCATTTTTGCGATGTTTTCAACAGACTGTCTCCTTGTATGCGGATAGATAAGAAGGTCTATTCATCTTCAGTATAGACTTTGGACTCACATTAAGGCATGGGTGGACAGTATCTAGAGACGTCCAGATGCCACACATGCCTGCCCATGGATGGCTGTGTGTGCTCTCAGAATCTCCATGACCATTTATTTAAAAGATTGCTATCTAAACTCTCAAGGACGGACGGACGGACGGACGGACGGAAGGACGGAAGGAAGGAAGGAAGGAAGGAAGGTTCTCTTTTTTTTCCATTTAACAGTTTCTTGCTGCCTGTCTATTTTGATCTTTGTGTTCTAGAAAATGTTTGTATGATTTCTACTTTACTTTGTATACACTGCCCAAAGTAGCAATTTGCTAAATGAGCAATATAAAAATTGGATAAATAAAATAAAATAAAATAAAAGAGGTATGGGAGGCCAAGGGCCGCTAGGGCATTTCCAAACATTGCATAAAATAAAATAAAATAAAATAAAAGAAGTATGGGAGGCCAAGGGCTGCTAGGGCATTTCCAAACATGGAAAATGTACCTCTTCTCCCTAGATGGCTCAAGTGGGCCTTTTGGAGGGAGTTTTTGGATTTTTAAAGAAATATTTTTAGTTCTGGGGTGTTGAGGGCACTAGACAGTACAAGCTGGATTTGGGCCTTAGGACGCAACGCCGGCCACTTATTTGAGTAATATATAAAAATGTTGGTCTCCCAAAGGCACAAGGTAGTTTTATAGTTTAAAAATTAAAGCATTTCTGAAAGGGTGTGGGAAAGAGTTCTTAGAGGAGTTGTCAAGTGCTCAAAAAGCAGTTTTGATCTTCCAGAACAGGTAAAATTTATGCAGCAGTCAAGATAACTATCCATCCTGAAGTATGAACCAGGTCAGCAATGGCAGCAATTGACTAGCAGCTACAATAAAAACCCAATCAATTATACTAAACAGTAAATTCCACAGTAGCTAAGATTCCAATGGTGTTAGTGATAAGGATAGCCTGCACTCTTTAACATGATAGAGAAGACAAGCATCATATTTCACATATTCCTTCTTCCCTCTCTATTAGTGTTTGGTATGCCTCCAATTATTCAGGTGTCATTAGGCACAAAGGTACCATATCCATAAATAAAAATCCTCTCAGGATCAGATCATAAAATTGCAGCATTTACATGATAAGAGCAAAGGTTACTGTAATGATGAAGATTCGCACTTAGCACTAGAGACAAGCATAGCTAACGCCAATTAGAAAGGCAGTGCTCTGTGTTGCATATTTTAATACTGAACTTGTAATTTGAATTAATACTAAATCATCACTGAATTAAAGTTCCTGCTGTTTTGTGGAATGCAAAATTGCTGAATTGTTGAGAAAAGGAGTAAAAAGATGGACAGTTAAGCAAACAATGGTCGAGTTCTGAAAATTGACCACCAGTTTCTAATTGCTCATGAGAGCTTGAACAAGTTACTTTTTTTTTCAGTCTGCAATTCCTGAATCCATCATGGCCATTGGCTTCCCTATTCTCTGGGTATTCTGGCAATTATAATTCTAAAAATATAACATAGCCAAGGTCTGGTGTTCAGACATGTGAGGGCTGAGGAAAGCCCTATGCTAGTGATTGGTTTTGAAACTGATGAAGATTTTGGATGGGATATGAGGATATACTTTTGGAAGACGAAGGAGTTATGAAATCCACTGAGCACATGCAAAAGTCTTGCAGGACCAACCCCGCCTGCAGGCAGTGTGTCCGAATCTGTCTCTCTATCTGAAAATATACAAATGTGTATCCCTTGCTTGTTACCAGAGCATGCTGTCAGAGCACATGTATGAACTTACACAAGTTCGGAAACACACCTTTAAGGGATCTTTGAATTAGGTCAAAAGTGCACCTTGACATAGATTGGGTTCACAGAGAGCTTTTCATGACTAGAATTTTATTGAAGAAAAAATAAAAATAAACAAAAATTTAAAATATAGCAATAAAGTATATAACGAATATGGGGAAATACAGACTCATGCCTGAGAGGGTTCTGAGACTTTCCAGGATGCAGCTAGGATATGTCATCAGTCTGAGAGAGTATATTTAATTTAAATCAATTGAAAACTTCTTATTCCCTGCTCCTTCAGGTTCTAAGGCTGCCTAGGGCTGCCTTTTGCCCTACGGAGGCCTTTGAGAGCCTCAAGATGATAGCAGGGGAAGCCTTTAATAGGCAAAATTTACTGCTGTTGGTCCCACCACTCTCAAAGGTTTCCAAGAGGTAAAAGGGAGTCCTAGAGGACCTCAGAACCTGAAAGGGGAATAAGAAGTTTTCAATTAAATCACATTAAATATTACTATCACAGTCTGACAGACATGGTGTAAAGGAATGGAAACTGAATTTCAGCCAGTGGGTAAAATCCAGATGTTTTATGAAGTAAATCATGCTAGGGTAGGTCTATTGAATCAGTGGGAATTTGGTGAATCCGTGGTGATTCGATGAGTCAGCTTCTCCAGGAGGTCCACTAATTCAGTGAGCCTCCTCTAGTGTGATTTATTTCCCTAAAGGAACAGGATTTTGGCGAATCTCTGTTAACTAGAGTATTTCAGCAGTGTTAACGGAAGCAAGCATGGTGTACAGCTGGGATCGGGAACCTGAGACTTCCAGGTATTATTTGACTCCAGTTCCCATCAGTATTATACAGCCTGGCCAGTAGTAATGGGTTATGGGAATAGTAATTTATCAAAACCTGAATGGTCACAGCTCTGATTTAGGAGATTCCAGTCACGTCAACTGGACTTTATTTTCAGTAACCAAATATTTCTTGCTGGGGCTCTGTAAGGAACTAATGTTCCCCTACCCGGACTGCACCTATAAGCATAAACAGACAGACAGATGGTCATAGGCTTAATGTAAGGAATGTCTCGTTCAGAATTCAGTAAACTTACTATAAACACAGCTGCAAATCTCCCATTGAAAAAAGAGAGAAAGAGACAATAAACATGTGATGTTCATGTTAGAAACCTTAATACTGAACATGCTACTTTGTATGCTGAGTGGCTTGTCACCAGGCAATGAAACAGAGAAATGTTGGTAGATTTTGCTTTATTAGATGAGATCAGTTTCTTCCAACTCTTCTGTATTTAGAACTAATAAAGCTTTGAGGTTTTTTTTCTTTACACATAACAAGGGCTCATAAAGACACATATAACCATTCTATACAGGCCACAGTTTTGTAAC